ATGCTTTACCTGCACTAATATTTGGTATGAATTAAATTTTAAAAACTTGATTGTATTTTGCATTTCTGAGGTGTCTGCAGAGATGATGGATGTAATCTTCCAAAATCCCTCAGAAATTGGAACAATCACAATGGGTTGCAAGTTAACAGATCTAATACTGGTAATGAAAAAAAGCAGAGACAATTAAAAATCACAATCCAGTTAGCCTAACATCAACCATCAAGGAAAAGGGAGAAATGATAATTAAGGAAGCAATTAGAGTATACTGAGAAATTCACACTGTAGCTAGGCAAAATCACATTATCTTATGAAGGGCAAATTGTTTTTCACAAATCTACTAGAATTTTTGAGGATATAACTTGGGTAGATAAAGAGGCACTAGTGCAATCAGTAAGCTTATATTTGAGTTGTTGTTGCACATTGCAAAGGTTCATGGGGTTGACCATAATAAAGTTAACGGGACAGAGGTTGGGTTAGTGGCAAAAAACAAAGAGCAGGGGTAAAAAGATCACAGTAGGCTGTTACTAGTCAGGTGTCACAGGGGTCAGTACTTGAGCCTCAGCATTTATAATCTATGTTAATTATTTAGGTGAGTAAACTAGGTGTAATGTTTCCACAAGGGGCAGCACGGTGGCTCAGTGGGTAGCTCACAGCGCCAGGGACCCAGGTTCGATTCCCCCCTCAGGTGACTGTCTGTTCGGAGTTTGCACATTCTCCCTGTGTCTGCGTGGGTTTCCTCCGGGTGTTCTGGTTTCCTCCCACAGTCCAAAGATGTGCAGGCTAGGTGGATTGGCCATGCTAAATTGCCCATAGTGTTCAGGGATGTGTAGATTAGGTTGGTTACAGGGAGATGGGTCTGGTTGGGATGCTCCAAGGGTCAGTGTGGACTTGTTGGGCCGAAGGGTCTGTTCCCTCACTGTAGGGATTCTATGATTCTATGATTTACTGATTGTATAAAATTAGGTGGGAAAGCAAACTGTGAGGAGTACACTGCAATTCTGCAAATTGGATATATTAAATGTATGTAAGTAAGTGATCAAGAAATTGGGGAAGGGATTGAATCCATTTCAGTTAGTTCAGAGTAAAATTTTCAGTCCTAAAAGCAAATGGGAACTGCAGATGTACCGCAGGCTGCAATATCAGAAAGATAGCATTGGTCCTGGGTGAAAAATAGACAATGCCTGCAAAAACTGTGGGATGACAGTGCACTTGGACAAAGAATTGTGGGATTTGTAACACATATGTTGTATTATTTTATATAGGTGCCTGTAATCTAAGCAGAGTGGTTTTATACTTAACCATGATAAGACAAGCTCTCCCTGTGTACGCAAGAAAATAAATGATTATTTGACCTGATTTCTTGAGTTGTCTTGCTCAGTAGTACAAGTAAAATCACATCTGGAATATTGTGTATACTTTTGTCCACTGTTCCCCAGGAACAATTGGGGTGGAACGGTGGCTCAGTGGTTAGCACTGCTGCCTCACAGTACCGGGAACCTGGATTCGATTCTAGCCTTGGGTGACTAGCTTTATGGAGTTTGCACATTCTCCCCCTGTCTGCATGGATTTCTTCTGGGTGCTCTGGTTTCCTCCCTTGATCAAAAATTGTGCAGGTTAGATGGATCCATAGGGATATGCACATTAGCTGGGTTGGCTATGGGAAATACAAGGATAGGGTAGGGGGCTAAGTCTGGGTGGGATGCTCTTTGGAGGGTTGGTGCAGACTGAATGGGCCAAGTGGCCTCTTTCCACACTGTAGAGATTCTATGAAAAAGTATTCCTGAATCAAAGAAAGTCCAACAAAGGCTCATTACATTGATTCCTGGGATGAAAGAATTGTTCTACAAGTAGAGATTGAGTAGATCATATGAATGAATGATTATAAAATTGAATTATTTAAGAGGGTTAGACGTGGTTGTCCCTGGCAGAAAAATCTAGAATTCACTACCAAGAGGGTATTGGGTGCTTAGTCATATATTCAAGGTTGAGGTTGATAGATTTTTGGATGTCAAGGGACATGCAGAATTAGGCTAATGGGCATAGTGAACTTGATGGCTTTTAATTGCAATCCGGTTGTTACATTGTTAACATGGTTACTAGCATATCCACTGCCGGTCTATTTAATTAATTGAACTCAAGTTCCCTCGTTGCTGTGGTAAGATTCGAACTTGTGTCTCTAGAATCTTATTCTAAGCTGCTACATTGCTAGTCCTGTAACATAACCACTACCTCCCCATTCTCTCTTGTACTGTTGTATAATCTTACACGTATTTTGAAAACAGTATGTGTGATTATTAGAATTAAACCACAGTGCAAATGTTGTAAACATTATATCAATATAATTGGCACTTTTTTGTATTGGTCTCCAAAGCCTTTACAGAGAGCAGTGGGTTCCACATCTCTCAACAGTAAGTGTGTGAGTTGTTGTAGCAGCAGTGATAGCAACAATCATTAGATTATAGAAAAATGTAACAGCAAATTATAGGACAATTACAACTTTGTTACTGCTTATTTCATCCATTCAGTCTATGATAGTAAAAACCAAAAGAACTGCAGATGCTGTAAATCAAGAACAAAAACAAAGTTGCTGGAAAAGCTCAGCAGGTCTGGCAGCACCTGTGAAGGAGAAAACAGAGTTAACGTTTCGGTTCCAGTGACCCTTCCTCAGAACTGATGATAGTGTTTATGATTGTGTTTGCCCACGACATGAATGGTATTCCTAATCCTTTGTTCTCACTCTGTTTCGATGTATAGTTGTATCCCTTAACCATCTGTAGTGTATTGAAAATGCATTGTTAGGTTATTACATACAGATGTATCAGCAGAGGGGGTCTACTAGGAAGAGATAATAAATGACTCATAGTTTGAATTCTAAATGACTGTGGCTGAATATATAAATGTTTGTGTCTCAAGAACTTCTAGCTACTTATTCTTAAATGTTGAGACAGTCTCTACTTCCATTAATTCTGGTAGTACATCCCATTGGATTTGAACCCTTTGTCACAACTTATGTCCCAAATCTTTTGCTTAAACTTATATATTAGACCTTTTGATCCAGACCTTGGAAAAGTCTGCGTTTTTCGTCTCTGTTTATCCCTGCATTAGTTTTAAAACCACCTATCAAACCATCCATTAATCTCTACTGCTGCAATAAAAACAGCCTAATTTCTCAAATCTTTCTTCATATTTCTACTTTCTCATATGAAGTAGAATTGTAGGGTATCCATGCTTTACCCTTTCCATTGTCTCAGTGTCCTTCCTATACTATGAAGCCTAACACTGTTTTAACTGTGATCTTAACAGCATTTTTATCAAACTTATAAGCTCTTATTCCCTTGCCGTGAAACCTACAAAACTATTTTTTAGTAAGTGACCTTATTTGCTGTTCTTAACATCTTGTGAATTTGAACCTTGAAATTCTCTGTGTTGTTCCAAAGTATGGTAGATTCATAGAGTCGTACATCACGGAAACAGACCCTTTGGTCCAATTCGTCCATGCCTCATGTTTGCTGACATTGAATTCCATCTACATTCTTTTGCCGATTCCACAATTTTATATTAAATAGCACTTGTGCATTGTTAATTCAAGTCTATATGGCTTCAGTTGGAGTAGGTGCCTAGTAGCAATTACATTTGAATATCTCCAGGATTATTTTTGTTATTCTTCAACAGGAATGTGCTGGTGATTGACTCAATATAAACACCAAAATGTTACCATACTGGAAAATGTGTATTTATTGAAAACATTTCACCATTTTCTTTTGACACTCATAATTTCTTTTATGCCTCCTATTCCACATCATCTGGAAATTTGGCCACCGCTCCTTCAAGTCCAGTTTAAATATTATTGATGCACGGAATGAAGAAGTAGTCAGGACATTGCTACCCTTCGAACCATTTTGAATAATCGCCTTTAACCCTGGCTCTCATTTTCTTCCCTTCTGATGAATCTTGCACAAAGCTAGCCACATGGAAATACAAGGGAACCTCTAATTTTCTTGTTATTGGCAATTTTGGGCCTCATTCCACATTTTAACATTTCTACACATACACAGAAACAGACGTTGTTGGAAAAGCTCCACAAATCTGGCCAGCATCTGTGCAGAGAAATCAAAGTTAACGTTTCGGGTCCGGTGACCCTTCCACAGAGCTGATGGTAGCTAGGAAAATGTTGGTTTATACACAGAAGGTAGGGTGGGTGAGGGAGTAAGCAGTAAATGGTAGGTAGGAATGGAGACCAAAGAGAGAGAAGAACAGTTGGACAAAGAAGTCGATAACGATCTGGCTGGAAGGGTGAATAACATTTTTAATACTTCTACTTTGTCAGTGTATTTTTAAATTCTCATCATTTAAATTTGCTTTCATTTTTATTTACATTTTGCTTCAGTCACGTAGTTAGCCAAGCTGTTCCACAATACTGGCATCCACCTGTCAATGCGCAAGATTGTCCAAGTCTGTCCTGTGTGCAAAAACGACAAATCCAATTCGCCCAAATTCATGAACACCACCATCTAGAAGAAGGGCTGCAGATAAATGGGAACACTAAAGCCTGCAAGTTCCCCTCCAAGCCACACAAATTCTTGACTTTGAACTACATGGCTGCAATGTGGCTGGGTCAAAAACCAGAAATTTCCTCCTTAAGAGGACTGTGATGCACCTGCACCCCAAGGCTCCAGATGAAATGTTCGCCACCACTCGCCCAAGGTTGTTTAAGGGAGGGGTAATAAATTCTGGAAATGCCTACATCCTTTCGACAAAGCACTTTATTTTAGACAAAAGTACTTTGTGCAGTTTGTCTTACAATTTATTTTGCACGCATTCTTTTAAATTTCAAAATTACTTTTTTCATAAAAAATATCTTCGGACACACACACGTATGAGAGAGTTCGTTAATTTTGTTTACTGCTTCGTATTGTGCAGGATATATTCCTTACGGGTCAATGAGAGCGTATTTATTGTACACGTGTTTGTCAGGCTGCTCAGCGCCTCCCCCTAGAGGTCAGAGGCGGGACGGCGTGTCCAGGTTCCTGTCGCTCGGAGTTTCCGTGGTCTGGCTGCGGGTGGAGGAAGGCGCCGAGCTGGGGCCTGGTAACGGGGGCGGACGGGGACGGACGGGGACGGACGGGGACAGCAGCTGAGGTGATCCCGGCGGTGGGGGGTGGTGGTGGTCACGGTCGGACACACGGTCACTCCGGGCCCTGGGGTGGGAGTATATTGTTTTTTTCTCTCCCCCCTCGCATTCCTTTTTTTGGTCGGAGGCGGAGCTGTGAACCTGTGGCCTTCCCCCTGGGCCTCTGGTACCTTTTTTAAAGTAAACTGGTGATGGGGGAGGGATGCACTTTTATTCTTTTTTAAAAACAACGTACTGCAGGAAATATGAAAAACCCCACACAATCTGAGCAGTGTGCAGCGAAGGGGCCCCGTGTGAGGGTTTGTGCGCACAACTGTTTTAATGTTGTAACAGCAACATCTCCCCCTGCTCCTTCAAGGATGACCCTGCCGCAGCCATATTCAGTGAAGATCATTACTTGAAAGTAAAGCTAGAAAGGAGTCTTCACTGCTCCGGAATTCCACGGGAACGTGCGGCATTTTCTTGTATCAGCAGGTGGAGTCTGGTAATGAATATGATGGTTTGTTGGAGCAGAGTCGATGAGCCGAATGGCCTAATCCTCCTCGTGTATTTTATGAGACAACAAGGTGCAGAGCTGGATGAACACAGCAGGCCAAGCAGCATCAGAGGAGCAGGAAGGCTGACGTTTCGGGCTGATGAAAGGTCGAGGCCCCAATTGTCAGCTTTCCTGCTCCTCTGATGCTGCTTGGCCTGCTGTGTT